ATAGTTTCGCCTCATTGATTTGCATAGCTCACTGAACAGTTACTATTGCTTGCCTTATATCCCTTTGGGTAGTTGTTCCCCAAGCTAGACTAAAATTATGGTTGGACTTCCTCCACAAAGAAGGACAGCAGATAAAGTCCAAGTATGCATTAAAACTAAGTTAACAGGGCACCTGGGTGGCTCAGTGGGTTAAAAGCCTCTGCCTTCGGCTCAGGTCATGATCTCAGGGTTCTGGGATCGAGCCCCGCATTGGGCTCTTTGCTCAGCGGGGAGCCTGCTTCCCCCTCTCTCTCTGCCTGCCTGTGATCTCTGACTGTTAAATAAATATATTAAAAAAAAAAAAACAAAAAAAAACTAAGTTAAGCTTTTCAGTGTTTCTTTCCAGGGTAAATTTTAAAGGGAAAAGGGAAAATAAATAAACAAATATTTCTGAAAAGTGGTAGGTTTAAGGTCACAGAGTTAGATATCAGTTCTATGTACATATAAGGGACATTTGTGACAGTTCAAATGAACGGTGGTTTCTTTTCACCATTTCTATTAGTGTGTGATGGCACCTACTTAGAGAGGGACAGTTTTTAATAAACATTCATTTCCAGACACAAATTTTCATATATATATGCCCTAAAAGTCTCATAAAGCAAAATTGCCTCCACGTTGTCCCATAGTCTTTGTCGTACTGTGGGGCAATCTTAAATATTTTTTTATTAGAAAAAAATATTGGTCTTATTTGTTGGCAACTTCACAATGTACTTTGTGTATATTTAGTTACTACTTTTCAATATGTAGGATTATTTGGTATGTAATTTATATTGCCTTTCTCTCTAGGTCTACTTTTAAAAGCATATTTTTCTTTGCATAAGCAAAATCATAGAACTTGTAGTTTAGTGTCTTGTTAGAGTTTTTACTTTTGGAGTAGGTAAATTTCAAGACATGTTAAAGTTTCCTAGGAAATTATTTCATTAAAAGATTTACTATATTTAATCTATATGCTTTATCTCTGTGGTTTATTATATCACACACATATATATGCTTCATTAAAATTAAACTTCATTATTGAAGTTCTAGTTCAACAATTATTGTTACATTATGAAATAATCCCTTAACAATGTTTTTATAAAAAAGCTCTCTAATTAAAATGATGTAGATCTTATCTTAAAATATTTGCATTATTAATTTGTTTCAGGTTTTACTGGCAGTATAAATGCATCTTTACATATAATTCTCTTTCTGAATGTTTCTCATACTGTTGTTAAAAACAGAAACAAACAGAGACCAGCCTTGAAAATTTCCCGAGCAGAAGAAAGTAGCTTAATCATACAAACAGCTTAATTTAGCTTATTTTGTAAGGCTATCTTGACCTGGATCATTTCTTGCTTGTGCCTCTAGAAATAATCAAAACTTGACCTGTTTCTCAAGGTTGATATGAGGTAGCCACTGAAAACTGTAATATTGTAGCCAATCACTGTGAAAAGGAAAAGTCACTGCTTTCTCACTACATAAGCTGCTTTATAACAATGTACCCCTGACCCTCATTCCATGCTCTGGCTTGAGTGTTCCTGGTTTGCAAACTGTCTGTCCTTTTGGGTTTTACCTCGGCTATTTTAAACCCTTGACATTATGTAATTCAATGTCTTCCCAGTTTTGCTTTGTCTACCTGTATGGTCTGAATTTATTGTTCAATTGAAGTTACCAACACGTTCTAATATAATTTATTAAAAAGTGATTGAAACATTTTTTGTCCTACTGAATATATGTGAGAGATAAATCTTGAATAAACTAAAATAATTCACAGATGAAAAGAAAAAAAGACCATAGAATTAAATAGATAAATGATACAAGCAACAATATAATGCATTGTTTACATGATTTATGTATGGCATTTGAAGAAAAAATATTATTTTGCAAAGATAATCGATCATGTAAAGGTTATCCATTTTGTTTTTACCCTCTTTCTGAAACAGTGATGAAGTGTTACTTATTCTTTTGTCACCTAAAATACCAGACTTTAAAGTGTATCAGTCCACTACTAACTGTTCTAAGGCAAAAGGATAAGAAAAATGGCCTCTTTTTATTTCTCTCAAAACTAGTTAAACGGAAGATCCACATTTTGTACACAAAGTATTTCGATACTGTGTTTACAAAGATACTTTTTATTAAATAGTGATTTAATCTTAGTTAAAAATTTTTTTTTAATTTTATTTTTTATAAACATATATTTTTTTCCCCAGGGGTACAGGTCTGTGAATCGCCAGGTTTACACACTTCACTGCACTCACCATAGCACATACCCTCCCCAATGTCCATAATAACCACACACCCCCAACCCCCCTCCCCCCAGCAACCCTCAGTTTGTTTTGTGAGATTAAGAGTCACTTATGGTTTATCTCCCTCCCAATCCCATCTTGCTTCATTTACTCTTCTCCTCTCCTACCCCCTTAGTTAAAATTTTAATAGTCAATTTTAATCTTATAATCAGTTTTGAGCAAGTTGAGTGTATAAAAATCATAATGATTTGCCAAAGATGCTTCTGAGAGTATTATGTCAGTCTGATTAGTTTTTCATTTAAACCACCTTTTATACACAATAGGGTTAACTGTGCTGCTTCAAACTTACTTTCCTAATTACAGAGTTCTTTCAAGGAAGAAGGAATAGAAAATAGGAAATAGTGTTTTTCTAACTATTTTTTCTTACTTTTAGATATATCTTGATACTTTATAAACCATTTGAATTCATTTTCCTGTAGGTTCCAAATACAAGTCCTTGTATGTTATGAAAGTAATAGGAAGAAGACATCAAATGAGAACACAAACACTGGCACCCCTTTATGTAGCCCTCATGCCTATGCTAATAGGTAAAGTTATCAACACCTTAGGCAGTGGGAACTGGGGATTGGGTAATGAGATAGAGATTTGAAACCCAGTCTGCCATTTACTGGCTTTGCTGCTTTGTTCATATCGTAGCACTACTCTGAGCTTGTTTCCTTAATCCTCAATGGAAGCAGTGATACCGTGTTACTGCATTGTTACCGCATCCTGAGATGATGTACGCACTGCGCATGAGCCGTGATGCACGTTGACTGAGAAATACCGTAGTTATCAACCCCATCGAACCCATTTCCTGCTTTTAATGTTAGGACAAATTTGGTGCTAGTGTTCCTATTGACAAGGGATGAGGCTGAAGATTTATTTTGAATGAAAACACCGTAATAGAGTAAAAATTAAATCATCAGTATAATACCTTTTAAGCCTAAGCCTCGTTATGATAATAGGTAAAACAGTTTTATGCAACCTGGATAAAACTCCATACAATCTATCCAAGTTGTCTGCGATCAGTTTATTTCTGGGAAGATGAAAATACTTTTTCAAGGAAACTTTGCCTTTACAAGAACATGTTCTGCCTTTGTAGAAACTCGGGAAAACATCATATGCACATCCAAGTCCTACTTTATTTCAGGGAATATATGTGAAGATAATGCAAATTCTGAACAGACTTGGATACCTGAGATAGACATGCATATGCTTTCCTCCTGTGATGAACACTGGGATCTAGAGTAAATTTATTTTGGGTGAACACAAGATTTGCTAGGAAGAGCTGCAAAAGTGCCTGTTTCATCCTAATTGATTGTTGCCACTTTTTTCTTCTTTCGACTGGAATTAGAATAGGTTAAGCCATCCTAGGGAGTTTTGGGGGCAGATGAAAATGTTTTGGAAGTGGATAGAGGTTGTGGTTGCACATCATTTTGAATACAGGAAAAGCCACTGAATAGTTCACTTTTCCCTCTCCCTTTGCCCCTTCCCTGCCCACTCCACTCCACTGTTTAGAAAACTAAAATTATTCTGTGCCATTCTCTGTGCACATATCAGGGAGCAGACAATGAGGATTTTTCACCTATTGATAGTATTAAAATTTCATGAACAAGATAATTCTTGAGAGGATTTTTTGCATTGTTTTTATTGAGGTGAAATTGACATAACTATAACCATTTTCAAGTGAACCATTCATGGTTCAATGATATTCAACAATGATATTCAGACTTCGGAGTAATAGTGCAAAGCACCAGGGGTCAATCAAATGTTAACCCTGATATTTCTTGAAACATCACCATAAACCAAAGAAATATTGTAAAAATAGTGTATGATTTGTCTGTTATGACACTTGGTATTACTGGGAAATGTGTGAACTGGCTAATCAAAATGACTTAAACTGCATGGTTTTTACTCTTTTGGGAACATTTATTAAACTTTTCAGTATCTATTAAACTGGAAATTAGTTTTCACACAATATTGACAATCATTTTTTTTAAATAAATTTTAGTCTTTTGGTTCCTTGAAGTCTTGTGCGTATCAGACCTTCATAGTTCACAGCAAATGGATAGCCCAGCCACAATGATCAGATCCTACAAATCCATGGCTTTGATTTGAAATTAGCTATGCTTTGGACTTGGGAATACAGAAACTTGTCAGTAGATGATTATCAGAATCCCCCAAAAAAAAGACATGAGACTGTGGTTTAGATGTGATATTGAAAGTGTATAGGTTAGAACAGGCTAAGAGAAAGTGAGATGACACCTTTTAGCTTCAAAGTAGGAAGTCTGTCCTTTGTTTCCCATCAGATTTCTTATATAGAGACATCTCTAAAGGAAAAAAAAAAAAAAAAAAAAAAAAAAAAAAAAATTATAGGAGCCAGGTAGCTAAAAAAAAAAAAAAAAAACCATGTACTCTAGTTTAACATTTTGGCTATTCAATATCCTTATATGCCCTTATTTCCAAACTTTCACTTTCACAAAAAAAAATGTTTAGGTCATTATAATATAATTATACCTTGAATAATAATGGGAAATGTCAAACTCCTGAAGGAAAATAGTAGTTTTTTTCAATTCTAAATTAAGTTTTTATTATAAGTATTTAGGTCCTAGATGGCAGAATTTGTTGTCTTGGTTAGTTCTATTTGCCTCTTATCAGAATCTGGAATACGTATTTTTTCCTGCCTGAAATGCTTAGGCCATAGTGCTCAGGAGGAAAATGCTGGAACAGGCGAGAGGAAAAATTTAGTCAGGAGATGGAGATTGGCCATTAGCAGAACCTCCAACTCCACCAAGAAAACAGAAGTATAAAAGATGGAAATCTCTGCCAATCCATGCAAAGGTCACACAAGGACCAATGGTAAAAGTTTTGGGGGGAATCTGAAGGAATTTGCCCTGGTATTTTTTAGTTCAATTCAATGTATAGAATTCACAAGCAACAACAAATCTAAAGAAAATAGAAAGTCAATTAGTAATTGCCTGGGACTCGGTGGGAAAGGGGTATTCACTGTAAAGGGGAACAATGGATCTCACTGAGTTGAAGGAAGTATCCTCAAACTGGATGGTAGTGATGGGTGCATACCTCGGTAAATTTTATACAGATCATTGAATTGTACATTTTAAAAGGGTGAGGGGGGCGCCTGGGTGGCTCAGTGGCTCTGCTTTCGGCTCGGGTCATGATCCCAAGGTCCTGGGATCAAGACCCGCATCGGGTTCTCTGCTCAGCAGGGAGCCTGCTTTCCCCAACCCCCTGCTGCCTCTCTGCTTACTTGTGAACTCTGTCAAATAAATAAATAAAATCTTAAAATAAAAAATAAAAAATAAAAGGGTGGATTTTGGGATACACAATTTATACCATGATAAAGCTGTTAAAAAAAATCATGGCAACTGAAGGCAGTATGATTTTAATCACTCCTCACCCTCCTGACCAAGGCTGCTGAAAGCAAATTCTGACAGCTGGATTTCCTCTAACAGTCACCTTTAAAGGGGTCTCCTGGAAATATCTAGCAAATTAGTTAGAAGGGGATATGAAAAAGAATTATGCTAAAACATCCCACAATTAAATATTCCCATCACATTTGTGATTCTTAAACTGGAAACCTAAGAAAGTCTTGAGTCTTGTGGAATTTCCAGATGTGAGCCCCAGAAGACTGAATAGCTGGTTTTCAAGATCTACAGAGAATTCGTTACTTTCTTTTCTCTCCAGTGAATGGTTTTGCTCTCATGGTGCATAAAATACAAATAATGAAGATTTCTGAAGTCATATTGTGAATGCATGCTGGCTGTTTTTCTCTGCCATTATTCATCCTCACAGTTTCACTGGACTAGGAGGGGGATACTGGAATCCTGGGATCATACAGTGGAACTTTTAGTCACAGGACACTTATAGGGTAACACTGAATGACAGTAGACTATCAATTCTTTGCAGCTTCTGACCAGGTCGATGACCCGCACCCTCGACTCAGCACTGACTGGCTCATGGTTCATCAGGCTCAGCACTGACTGGCTTATGGTTCATCAATACAATCTGATTTCCTTGGGATCAGCTTGCCCTTGGAGGGACCACTGGGCATTACCGCGCAAAGGACCACTGCCTTTTCACTCTGGGCCACCAAACAAGACCCCGGCAGAGGCTCCCTCATCATCTCCACCCTCCGAGGGGTTGGAGGAAAGATTTGGAAGCTCTCTAACCAAGTGTCATCAAATAGGATGCCTTCATGAAGCAGTCTCGACCATCCCAGTTTGCAGTCATCTCCCATTCATGTACGGCACTGGGTTCGCACTGGGTTCAAGCCCGAGGTTCCCGAGAGAGGTGGCTAGCCTAAAGACTTCATCCTGTGATAGATCACTGGATATAACTCAGGAACAGCCAAATAGAAGAGCTGCACAGGGTAAGGGATAGGGAAAAGGTGTGTAGCCTCCACGGCTCTCCAGGCCGGCCACTTTCCCCATACCTCCACATGTTCACCCTCCCAGAAGCCTTGAAGGAAAATAGTCTTGCCAGCTATTTTAACCAGATATGGGTGAATGAATCTCAAATAGGCTAAATGCAAAAAGAACCATAATGAGGCGCATTATAGAGAAACTAGTGAAGGACAAAAAGAAAGTCTTGAAATCTTTAAAAGATAACTGGTCATCATAGAATTAGGATTCTTTGCAGTATTGCCATATCTTGCCAAAAGCCCATCCTCTAATACTTCTACCACTTTCAGCTCAAACTACTTTTAAAAGCAAAATCTCCCAAATTCTAACCACTGTTCTGTTGACTTTCTCTTTGGCAGTGATTCCTGCTGACAATATTCAAATTAATTATAGATTTTAGCCTTAATCAACAGAAATTAAATCTGCCAAATAAAACAAGAAGGGAATTTATGAGAAAAATTAATTGTAGCCAAAGGGTTAAGCAAGGGAAGAAAATGGGCTTCAATAAATGAAGGGAAGCAAGGGAAGAAGCAAGGGAAGAAAATGGGTTTCAATAAATGAAGGGTCAAAGATTAAATTTCAGTCAAAATCCCACAGAAGATGTGTGGTAAGTAAAACACTTCCAAAGTTAGCACCATTGACACCATACTACTGGCCCTATATGCCCAACTGGTACAGTTTCCCCTGGAAATGATGTTCTATTGCTGTGGTCCTCAAAGCACATTCGCCACTGTGTGTGTTCTTTTCATTTAAGAGACTTTATAATATCACTTGTTAATAACATCCAGAGCTATGAAAATGTTATACATCCATACAATTAAAAGCTTTGCTGATACATAAACAAATAGACACATAAAGAGGAAGCTTACAGTGTCAACATATTTTAGCTATGGATCAAGAACAGGACAAGCTTTACAAATTAGATTCTTCCTCATCTCTCATCCATCAGAAAATAAGTACCATAAACTATTAATCAATTGTCAGAGGTCATCAAAATGATCATACATAATATCAACTTATCAATTATTGCTGCCTGCAATTATTGGCCACTCATAAGCCAAATATAAAATTGAAAACAAAATATATAATGCAAAATTAGTAGGAAGGAAAAATAAAATAAGGAAAACATAACACAAAACAGAAGCTCATAGGGGAAGGGAGGGAAAAGTAAAACAAGACGAAGGCAAACCATAAGAGGTTCTAATCTATAGGAAAAAAACTGAGGGTTGCTGGAGGGGTGGTTGGTGGGGAAATGGAGTAAATGGTTGATGAGCATTAAGAAGGGCACAGGATATAATGAGCACTGGGTATTAAATGCAATGGATGAAACACTGAACTTTTCATCTGAAACTGATGATACACTATATGTTAACTAATTGAATTTAAATAAAATAAGTTAAAAAAGAGAGGAAACATAGAAAAATTCTGTTAACACTTTGGATTTTCTGTGACCAAATAGGAGTCAACTGGACTTAATCTGTTTATGAGGTGTGCTTCTCTTATAATGAGATTTACCTAGTTGTGTTAGGTGATCCAATGGACACATTGGAAAACCTTCTAAACTCTTAAAAGATAAGTTTAATAAAAATTAAAATCACAGTTCTTCCACAAATATACAAATGAACTTACATTAAATGTTTTATTTAATTATAATGAAGGAGTAAAGCAAATATTTTTAGGAGAATTCAAAGAGGCACACTTACAAAACAAAACTGAATTATTTAAATAAATATGAAAATGGACATAGAATTGGATTGTTCCAGTGAGGAGAGTAAGTCAATTGAAACTCCATCAGAAGGGATAGAATGAACATAGGAAAGAATTTATAAGAAATAGTGGTTTTGCATCATTACCAGATGTCTTAAGATTTACAGAATTATAAAATAGTTCCTATAAAAGAATCATATAAATTGGATGGTATGTTATAGATAATGCATAATTTCCAGTAAAGCCTGCATTTTTAAATGAATTCCTTTAAAATATGTGGTGATATTAGAGCACTGTATTTCCCTATAAAATATTTGATTTTTCAGTGATTGTTATCTAGCTATAGAATTATCTGTCTATAGACTTGTCTATAGAAATATTTCTTTGAACATTATTTTTCTGAAACAAAGAATTGCCAAAAAGTCAACCAGAATAAGTAGACAATTTCAATTCGAACACAGTATGTTTAAATGCACTAAGATGAAATATTTTAATTTTTTTCTTTAGATTTTTTTTTATTATAAGCCTTTGTTTTTGTGTGCAAGCTGAAACTAAATTGTCTAATATATTTTGATTTTCTAAAAGCCCGAAAATAAATATTTTTGTAGGAAACAAATATACAGTCATGTTTTCTACAGCATAGAGAACTATCAGAGCTGAACAGCTTAGTTAGTAACCTAAGCTCATGAAATGACAAATGTAACAGTTTTCTTCATCTTTGTATGTCTTTAAACTACCAGAAAAGGTCGAAATAAAAAATCAGGGGAGGAGAAATAATTGCCATACTAATTGTATACTAATTTAAGTATGGTAGAAGTTTTTTCAATCTGGAAAATTTTCATCAGTATAATAAATTACTATTTTATAGCTTTGGAGATTTACATAAATTTGTTTAATACTTAACCCAGATGTTTGACTTGCAAGAATTTTTTTAAACAATTATTATGTAGTGTGTCTTTAGATTGGAAATAAAATTCACATTTTTAAATCTGGAGGGACTCTCATAACAGATACGTATTTTTATTGTTTCCGATTAACACAATTTATTAAATGCTAAATTGTATCACCATGCTAGCTGAGTTTTGCCATAATGAATTCTTCTGTTTCTAATTGTTTTATAATGGCATCCAGTAGAGGAACTCCTTCAAGTGTTAACAAAAATAATAGTTTCATCATCTCAAAACAAATAGTTGAAAAGGTATAATTTACCACATAAGGAGGCTTACTTCTAACCTGTTTTTTTCTAATCAGTAAAAAGAAAAAAAGAAAAACAATGGTAATTGGCCTTAAGTGGACATAAAACGTTGTGCATTGTAGAGATTTTTGGATTGGTGTTTTCTCTTACTGCTCTTGCACATTCCTCAGTCTGTTTCAGTTGTTAGTAAAAAGACAATCTGATTAGACCCACTAAACTCTGAGATGTGAGTATATGAGAATGGTAAGCATCCAGGGACATTTATAATTTAAAGCTGAAAGGCCGCTTACGTAAATAAAAGTCTCCAAATTGTTATTTCAGTCTCTAGCAAAGGTTTTAGGAGAAAATTTTCTATTGTTCTATAAATCCTCCTATTTAACCAAAAGTAAATTTGCATAGTAAAATTTGGATGC